TACCCTGTTACGCTTGTTATTATTACTATTATTATTATTATTATTATTATTATTATAACTGTTACACATCCATTCTACATTTTAATAACTTTATTGTTTCTTCTATTTCAGGATTACTAATTCTCCTATAGCTGATGTTTTTGTTGTTTGGGCCAAATGTACTGATGATGGAAAGATCAGAGGATTCATACTAGAAAAAGTAACGAAACAAAATTGATTGACCGATTAATTTTTACTATTATTTAAAAAAATTTTTGAAGGGTATGGCTGGGCTCTCTGCTCCAAAGATAGAAGGAAAGTTCTCCTTAAGAGCGTCAGTGACTGGTCAGATAGTAATGGAGGACGTGGTCATACCAGAAACTAACCTGCTACCACTAGCAGAGGGACTGCAGGTAATTTTAATATAATAATAAGTTTAATAATTATAGACTAATCTAAAAGCAAAGCTAGCAAAGGTTGGATCTTTATAATTGCACTGAATGACATTATGTATAAATGTATGTATACATAAATTTATAAATGACAATTAATTTTATCTACACAGTATTCTTCATAATAGTTGTTTTTTTTTAATTTTAAGGGACCATTTGGTTGTCTCAATAATGCAAGGTATGGTATTGGTTGGGGGGCACTAGGAGCAGCTGAATTCTGTCTACACACAGCCCGCCAATACACACTGGACAGGTATGCAGCATTCACTCTATCTTAATGTACACAAATCTGTATCTCTCTCTCTCTCTCTCTCTCCCTCTTTAAAGGAAGCAATTTGGACGTCCTCTAGCTGCAAACCAGCTTATCCAAAAGAAAATGGCTGACATGATAACAGAGGTATTAAGCCAATATCCTATTATCCTTATTTTTATTATTATTATTGTTTTTGTTGTTGTTGTTGTTGTTTACAGATATCAATTGGTCTTCAAGCTTGCCTACAAGTTGGTAGACTAAAAGACGAGAATAAGTATGATAGTATTTTAATTCTGTCTATTTTTTAAATTCCTGGACATTCTTTAGAGTTTCTCCTGAAATGATTTCACTGATAAAGAGGAATTCTTGTGGTAAAGCATTAGACATTGCAAGAGCAGCACGAGACATGCTAGGAGGTCAGGAAGAAGAGAGGGGGAGAGGGAAGGAGAGAGTGAGAGAGAGAGAGAGAAAGAGGAGGAAGAGAGAGGGGGCCTCAAGAAGATAATGTATTTTATTATTGTTAACAGGTAATGGAGTCAGTGATGAGTATCATGTTATAAGACACGTAATGAACCTTGAAGCTGTTAATACTTATGAAGGTAGAGAGAGAGAGAGAGAGAGAGTAGGAATTTATTATTATTATTT